TGCAAGCTGTATAAATATTGGTAAAAATTACTAACATTATATTAGGTATTGATTTGATAAAAGTTCCAGGAGAGCAAAACAGCATTAATAAATATCTCACTACTTGCTCTTCCCTCATTTTACCTAACTAAATGCTTAGTTTAAGTTGATAAAAAAGAAAGAACATGTTTTTGTTAAGAAGATAACCTTACAAATGCCTCTTGAAGATCAAAAGTGACATGAAAAGATGACAAAGGCGATAAGTGTATTATACAGTGTATATGTAGCACCCACATATGAGGAAACGATGTACATCTCACAAGGTACCGAGAGCAAGAGTCACATGTTCAGTGTAATCAAGATACACCACACAAAAATTATCCTCTCACCAATAATCCTCAAAAAGTCAGTCGCTTGTACAGAATCTTCTTGCCCTCTGCCACTCCGTGCTGCCAAAGAAAGACATTTTGTATACACTACCAGAAGAACCATGTAAAAATATACATATGCAAAATTTTTTAAATTAAAAAATAGTTTTCTTATAAATAGGTCATTTGTATCCATCAGTCTGTTTCGAATATTGTAAAGAAAATTCGGCAGTACTGTACTACTATTTATATACTTCACTACAAATGCTCCACTTCTATACAGTCATCCAAACATGAATTATTTTTTTTTTTACCTAAACAGCCATCATCTCCTATCAAGGCAGAGTAACCCAAAGAAGAAAACACATCCACCAACATTTATTCAACTGAATCTGCATGTTTCTTCTGATAACTCTAAACTGCTATTTGAAGAAACATGCACTAAATCAGAAGGGGCATATGAAAATTCCTCCCAGAGATGTTTCAAATATAAGCTGAAAAAAAATAAACACTAGTTTGATTAATTCAAGATGCAACGTCCTCTCCTTTCACCTCAACAAATATACAAAAGAAACGTACGCAAGAAATCCTTGTGGTAAATTATAACAAAGAAACAAGGGGATATCAAGCAGGTGAATGTACATAATGTTTTGAGAAAATTAAAAAGAAAGGGGGGAAGACAACTTGCTGAAGACAGACAACCAATTCTCCAACACAAATAATTTCAATGGTAGAAGTTTATTTACTGCCTAATGCCCATTGTAATAACTAAAAGCAAGCCTTATGTTTGTAACGAAACAAAAAAATAACCAAATTCATGGTTATTTGCAAAGCCTACTTCATTAATACAGTACAGTACTATAATTAGGTATATTTGTCATAATAGGTTATGTAAAATTATAAATTTTCCTTATCTTCAAAAATCTTTCCTCATTAACCCTTTCAGGGTCCGTGCCGTAGATCTACGGCTTTACGTTCAGGGTCCAAAACGTAGATCTACGCCATGAGCTCAGCTCATTCTGATAAGCTGTGAGCGGTAAATTTGGGCCTAGATATGAGAGAATACATCTATGTGGTATGTGTGCACCACATAAAACAAATCCTGCAGCACACAGTGCATAATGAAAGAAAAAACCGAGGCCGTAATTTTCAATTAAAACAGCAACTTTGCAGTGTTTTTTCATATGTTTTTTATAGTTGTATTTACAATTTCTTGGTCTCATTTGATAGAATGGAAGAGATACTACAGAAATAGAGATGATTTTGATTGGTTTTAGTGCTGAAAATGGCTTGAAACTGAGCTCAAAGTAGTGGAAATGTTAAATTTTTCCCGATGTTCAAGAGTAAACAAATGACCTCACACTTTTAATAAACACCAGCTGGTGGGTCTAATATATGTTCACAAATGTGCTGATATTATTTATACAATTATTACAATATTGCATGACAGTAAATCTTCTATTTTTTGGTTTGAATAAAAATTCATTATGTGAATTAAAAATCAAAATGAAATTCATTTGTAAAGCTTGAAAACATAACTAATGAATAGAGGAAATGTTAGTTTAGTGCCAGGAATGCCTGCATTGTTTATTCTGGACCCTATTTTGAAATTAGAATATTTTGAACTTTGCACTAAATTGGCCAAATTACCAATTTCCGATCACTTTACATGTATTTTGTAGTTGAAACAGTTAAGTTGGCGATTTCTTGTGCTCAGTCGATAGAATAGAAGTAATACTAGTGAAATAGCTAAGAATTTGGTCGACTGGAATAAGGTAATTGGCCTAAAATTGGAGTCAAGGTCAGCAAAATCGCCGATTTGTAATTATCGCTGACACATCAAAATTCACAAGAGCATAATTTTATCAATTTTCCATCAAATTTCGTACTTTTTGTTTTATTGCCTTCAGAAAAAGATTCTCTACCATTTCATAAGAAAAAATAACAAAATTATATTTTGAAAATTCTTGGACACTAGTGTGCACTTTGAAATTTGGCCTCTGGACCCTGAAAGGGTTAATACCATAAAGGGAAATTTTTAGCCAATGGTACAAACTCAGGAAATTTTAGTGAACTCAAAACAGATTATTCTCCTTAATATTATTCCTGCAAAGCCCTGTATCAGCATAAAGGGGGGAGGGGGGTAAGGGTTCCTTCATGCTCATATAGGAATCATGATGCAAGGAATTGGAGTTACTTTTCTCCTTCTCAGGTGAAATCTGTTTACATCCCATTCTCCAGATGCTGTAAACTCTTCCAGATTTATCAATTTATGGCTACAAACTCTCAAAGCCAGGACCCTCAAATCCAGAAATCTATTAAAACACTGTTCTTAAATATTCAATTTGGAACCTGGTAAAATTAGGTCACACAGCACAGTACACCTACCATCCGACTTACTTTCTGCTCGACATACGACCACTCGACTTACGACCGTGTTTTTTATGCCAAATTTCTGGGAAATAAACAACTGTTTATGTTGTACACAGTGTTGATCCTAAACCTTACAGTATAAAATACAGTACTAGCAGCATAAAAAGTAAAGTAAAAAATTAAATACCAAAATAAAACAAAATAAAGTCATTACAAAAATGTGATGTTGATATTCAGTAGTAAGGTTCGATTTGCATCCATTTCGACTTACGACCAGTTGGTCGGAACCAAGCTTGGTCGTAAGTCGGATGGTACCTGTACCTCCGCAAAAAACAACATTAGTCAGGCAGTGTCAATCGATTAGAGGAAGTAAAAAAAAAGTTTAGAATGAAGTACTAGGGAGGGAGGGGGGGAAAGAATAAGAAAGAGAAGCCCAACACAATTTTATGAGCTCTTCAACTTTTAAACAATAAGATACAGTATGACGTCAAATACTGTACAACCCAGTCACTGGCATGTGCTACTAATGAGTACATAAAAATTGAACTCTTATTTTTTTTATACACCATACCTCAGATCTTTATTCTGGTTTTTTTATACAAAAATTTCATACTTTCACTTTCATTTGTGTTAATGTCAGTATATAATATATGCAATTACACAGGCTATGAGGGAACCATCCTATAATGCACTACCTGATTCTCTGGTCCTTCAAAATGGGAAAATCCTAAAAAAATTAGATCAGTCTTCACCCTGAGGAAGTCTGATTAAAGGGTCTGTACATGTAATAAATTACAGGTATTGTATACAGAAATAATACCACTAATACTTATGAATAATTTAAACACTGTAACTAGAGTTAGTAGAATTCCTAAAATCAGGATTTGTGTCTAATTAATTTATCTCTGGAAAAAATCTAAAAGCTGACAATTCATAATTCCTTTTTTTTTTCATTGGGATGGAGGAAAGAGGGAAGATAAAGCAATATTTGACTTACAGTACATGCTTCAATATGAATGCAAACAGAAATAGTTTGATACTGCCTCAGTGGTGGCATTTCATTCATCAGAAAATATCTCCTAAAACAAGTCTTAGTCAAATATTCTAATTCTTCAGTGGTCTTTAACCCTTTGGGGGTTTCGGCTGTACTAGTACGGCTTACGCCCCAGGGTTTTTGACGTACTAGTACGCCTAAATTCTAGTGCCCTCAAATCTAGTGAGAGAAAGCTGGTAGGCCTACATATGAAAGAATGGGTCTATGTGGTCAGTGTGCCCAGTATAAAAAAAATCCTGCAGCACACAGTGCGTAATGAGAAAAAAAAAAACTTTGACCGTGTTTTTGGAATAAAACAGCGACTTTGCACTGTATTTTCGTATGGTATTTATTGTTGTATTCTAGTTTTCTTGGTCTCATTTTATAGAATGGAAGACATATTACAGAAAGTGAGATGATTTTGACTGGTTTTACAATGAAAAGTACCTTGAAATTGAGCTCAAAGTAGCAGAAATGTTCGATTTTTACCAAAGTTCAAAAGTAAACAAATCATGCCAAGCGTCCAATACACGTCAACTGGTGAGTCTAATATTCTTTCACAAGTGCGCTGATATTATTTATACCATTTCTACACTAATGCAGTAGTCTGCATAACAGTAAATCTTCTATTTTTTGTAAGAATAAAAATTCAAAGTGGAAAGCCAAAGAAATATAAGAGAGGCCTGGGGATGTGACTAACGAACAGAGAACTTGTTATTTTAGTGCCAAGAATGTATTTCTTGTTTATTCTGGACCCTATTTGGAAACTGGCATCTTTTGAAATTTGTGTGAAATTGGCAAAATTGCTAAATTCTGACCACTTTATTGGATAGTTGAAATCGGTAAATGGGTGGTTTCTTGTACTCATTCGATAGAAAAAATAGAGTTCTAGCAAAATAGTTATGATTTTTGTCGACTAGTACATTGGAATTGGCTTAAAATAGGGCTCAAAGTGGGCAAAATCGCCAATGCATAAACATCGTCGAGACCGCTAACTTCGCGAGAGCATAATTCCGTAAGTTTTCCATCAAATTTCATACTTTTGGTGTCATTATGACCGGGAAAAGATTCTCTATCTTTTCATAAGTTTTTTTTTTTTTTTATTTTAGCGACCCTGAGAACAAGTCTCTGAGAGGGCCTGGCGACCCCCAGAGGGTTAAGCATTAGAATTGGTTTGCCTAAAATACATTTGCATATTAGTGGATTTATGCTGTGCCTAACAATGTTATATGTAAATTACATTATCCTTGCACAGCATAAGAATAAATAAAAAAAATTGAATTTGAACTGACCATCCAATTGCTGGCACACATATAGATGCAATTAGTGATTAAAGTGTTGGCATGCTGGTGTTGTGAATTCATGACTGTGACAAGATCCAGTGGTATACTGAAGCTAGGTTTCTATCCCATTAAAAACCAAGGTGCATACTGTGCAATTTTAATGGCCAACTGAATACTTAGGAGTGAAAAAGTGAATAAAACATCTAAACACAGCAGCACTTTCCTGAGAAGAGAATGATACTTTAGATGCAAGCTCTAAACACAGAATAGCAGTCACATAAAATTCAAATTTGATTTAAACTTTGAGCCCTGTTACTAGATAGAGAGAGAGTCCCTTTTTATGGTGCTGGTTGATTGTAGAACAGAGTGGAGGTGAGTTATCTTAATTACAG